CTCCACCAACTCGCCTCTGGCGCCCCCTCATCCCTACATGGGCCTCCTGCCCTGGAGATATCGTTTTTCCTGCTCCTGAAGCTGCTGAGCTGCTGAGGCTATGGGTGCTTCTCCTGCTGAAGCTGTTGCCTTCCCTGCTGTATAAGTGCCACTTATCTCGCCACCAACTCGCCTCTGACTGGCTCCCTCACATTCCTGCCTGGGCCTCCTGCCATGGGGTCGTTGCCTCTTATGGTGCTGCTGCTGATGGTGCTGCTGCTGATGGTGCTGCTGCTGCTAAATCAGCATTGGTCGTTTCTCCTGCTCAAGCTGCTACCTGCCCAGCTGTGTAAGTGACCTGTCTGATGTTATGGGTGCTTTTACTGATGATTACGCAGCTGCTGAAGCAACACCAAACCTTGCTCCTGCCCGAATTGCTGCATGTCCAGCTGTGTAAGTGCCTCTGCTCTCCATATCCTTGTCCAATAGGAGGACACTGTGTCTTGTAATGTCAAGTCTGTTCTGATGTACCTTGTCCCACACTGTTTTCATTCCACACTGTTTTCATTCTTAAGTCTCTGCTCTGCCTTCTCTTCTGTTCATGCAACTGTGCGTTATTTTAACTCAGTTTTCTAAACTCAGTGGTTCTTGTGTTTGTGCAACTGTGCATAAACTTTAACTCGTATTTAAACTCAGTGGTTCTTCTGTTTGTGCAACTGCAGGTTGCGCACTACTGATAAGTCTGCCTTACATTTCTTGCGGGTCTGACTCCGTAATTCTTGGTCTTGAATTGACCCTCTGTTGTTTCTTCTTGCTTCTTGTATCTCCTCGTACCTCTTTGCACCTCCTCGCACCTTCGCACCTCCTCGAACATCCTCGCACCTGCTCTTATCTCTGCTCACTATCAGATATGCCATGGACAGCGGAAAATCGCATCCCCTCAGCATACTTGTTGGGCTGAGAAAAAGCCCTTAGGATCTTTGCAGGACTGATGTAATAGCGGAAGCTTTTAATGAAGTAGTTGAACCACCTTGCGCTAGTATATGAGGGCAAAGTAGATTGATTAAAACAAAGAGATACAAGATTATATAAGAGTACAAGGAATACGAAGAGGTACGGTTGTAACCACTTTACTGTTGCTGTTGCGGTTCGATACAGTGACGACTCGGGCAACTGCTCTGTAGCGAGTCAGTTGTGTGTCCTTGCTGTCGCGCTGTACTTGTCAGGTCAAAGGTCGCTGACCTTTGACTTTTGCGTAACCTCCAACAGTTACTTTCAACCTCCGAGGGTTGACTCGCCGGTGCTTCGATATGCTTCGCTTCGTTTGTGCCTTAGTGTTTCGACACGACAGAGGCGCTTAAGATCGATTGTTTCCAACAATACTCACCTGTAACTAGTGCACAATCACTCCACCTGTCCAACTGCCCAGCTGTGTATCTCATCGCATCTCCTGGCACCTATTTGCACCACCTCTGACAATCAGATATGCCATGGAGAGCACAAAGGATGCATGCAAGTGGGCCTATCGCAATGCGACACCTGGAGCTGTGCTTGGAGGTGCGTTGCTGTGCATGCAAAACATCGAGCCGTAAGGAATAATAGTTGCATGTTAGGCGGTGGCATTTTCGTGTCCTCGATGCTTGCAAAAATGACTTGCGGTGTTTCCGACATTTCTTGCAATGCATACCAACAGAACAGAGCCATTTCCCTGACTTGTCTACCATTCAAATTTGTTACTCTTTTTTCATAACAATTGTTTTCTTCTTACCACCTGCACCACCGTTTTTACCTGATTCCTCTTCCTCCCTTACCGTGCGTTTCGCCCAACACCACCGCATCGCACTGTCGGCTTCTTCATGAAACTCCACGGATGAGTATCTCAATTCTCGCCTGCCCGTGGTGGAACATTTGCATTGCCATGGGTGGGGTGCGCCTTGCCCGTGTTCTCAACCACATCTTCGCTCGACATAGGGATGTAAAGTAAATGCGAGTATTTCAATACTCGCCTGTCCGTAGTGGAGATTCGCATTGCTATGGGTGGGGTGCGCCTTGCCCGTATTCTCAACCACATCTTTGCTCCACTTAAGGATGTGCAGTAGATACTTAGGGTTTCGAGTTTGGGAGGATTTAGGGGGTAAATAGTGTATCCAAGCCAGGGTTTTTTTTTTTTTTTAATTTCCACTACTCGGATTTCCAGAGCTGTTTTCTAGGGAACTCTGAAATTCAGGGTTAATTATGAGCGTTACTCTGATTTGTCAGAGAAAACTAAACTTATGAAAAATATGCTCTTGTCAGTCAGTGTAATTATTTTTCCAATTCTGAATGTCCTCTCAAGTTTTGAACCCAGTCCTTCTGCACTCCTACCAAAACTATAACCGTTGCGCTACGCTTACAAAGTACCCAGCTGACGAAAGTTATATAATTGTATCTAGTCGGCCTAACCATCTTCCACCAATTGGGGGGGGGGGGGAGGGGGGCTCGGTCGATATGCCTATACCCTGTACAGAGAAAAATACATTCGCCACAAATGTACACTGGTCTCTCAGAGTAGCTAAAATCAGAACCCTGACAAATCAGAGAAAACTTATCTTCCAAAAAAATTACCCAGACACGTCAGAGTGACCCCCTAAAAACCACTCTGATTTTCAGAGAAACAGAGTAATTTACTCTGATAAAAAAAACCCTGATCCAAGCAATGAATGTACCAAAAAATCACTGAATAAATGTACATTCACGAAAAATGTGCTTCCTATCACCACTTGAAGTGCGATCGCTGATATGACATTTTTCCCATGCTTCCAATGCTGAATGGTAGAATGAAGCCTGGAACCAACTGTCTCTCCCCACCCCAGTCCCCAAACGCATTTAGCAGCTCAACGCTACTGTGTTTGCCGATTGCATGCATGCTGCTTTACTTCTCGACAACGTGAGCAATGATGTGCTACGCTAGGTAGCGTGCTGGCGGAAAATCTCTTTGGAATTTCCTAGCAGATTCTGAGCAAGAGTGAAACATCTGCCTAAAAGCGTTTACATAAGATGCACACTAGTACATGTAACGGTACACGCCCATGTGACACAACCATTTCAAAAACTTCGCGAACCGTCGCGAATAAACATTCTATCTTTCGCCTGCTTTCCTGCTGTCCTAGTGGGTTTCGTCAATTCTACGTATATTTGCTGTCTTTCACCTGAGTTTGTCAAGTAGAATCAGATCACTGAGTGTGTGGGCAGACTAGGTGTCCCTCCCAACTTCACACAGGTAGCCATGGCTGAAGTTGCAACTGCTCGACTTGCGTATTCGATAAGCAATCTTATGGGCCCTTTATACGCAATCTTAGGCCCGTCATCTTCGCAGGGTGCATTGTGATTCTCTCCTGATTTAGGGTTGAGGTTGAGTGCCGTGACGAGTCTCCGAGTCTCCTGCCGCACGCCGCGTGTTCCTTTTCCACCCTGCCGGCTTGATATTCCACTCCCTATGGCTCATCCGACGGTGGTGGTAGAACAGAACCCTCAGCGTACGGCTGTAATGGTCACCCTGAGAATAAACCATTGCATTCCGAACGATTCTGAACACTTGGTGCTGAACCGATCCAGCTGCTGCGGCGAACCACCCGATTGCCGGCGCCTTGCACGGATTGATATCGTGACGCCACGTGACGAGCGGCCTTCCTTCTGTGAGTCGCCGGGCCATCGCATGGCTCTGTTGATTCGACTTGCGGCGCAGCATCACCACACAATCTGCCAGAATCGACGGTCACACTGCGGCAAGCTACAGGAAACCTCGGAGGATCGAGCTCAGCCACTAACATTCCAGAGTTTCGAGAGAGGTGCTCCAAACATGATTTACCATCTCCAGATAGCCTGTAGGACCTCCAGACATATATTTAGGTCATGGGCTCCGGCAGTCTTACGAGACATACTGCCCGTGAGCTCTCGTAGTCCTGCTAGCTGGCTTCGAGGAAGGGGAAAGCGTCCCTCTGTTCTCGCCGATTTTGAACGTCAGTGTGGTGGTTGCGATGGGTGGGAGATGGGGAGCGCGCGGAGAGGCGGGGATGGGTGGCGGCAGGGAAACCGGCGCCGCGGGCACAAATGCGACGCGAGAGCGCCGTCGCCGCGTGTTTAAATCGCTGCAAATGCAAGGGGCTGAGCAGGAAGAAGCGCCAGCGAAGGCGTTCTTTCCGCGCGGCACTCCGCTGTACGTTTCCCTGCTGGATCTATCATGGGAGGGACTTACTAGTAGCATCTCCTTCAAAAGGTACCGCCCCGCAGGTAGACGTAATGGGAGGCTTCAAAAGGACCGCCCCGCCATCTCCCTCATCTGTGGGTCGCAGACAGCCTCGTCGTTACGTCTTTCAGTTTTTTAGGAGCCGCATGGACTCACCCCAACGCAGCTTCCACTTCGTCCCAATGGTCCAACCACCTCAACTCCTCCGTCCCACCCACTTCTGCCCCCGTTTTCTTCCTCCCTCCCTACTCAAACCTTCCGTACCTCCCCTCCCTTTCTCCTCCTCCATTCCTCCCCCTCCCTTTCTTCCCCTCCCTTACTCCCCCACCTTCCCCCCTCCCCCACCGTCCTCCTTCTCCCACCTGCCCCACCGTCCCGCCAATCCCCCCCTTTCCACTATCCGCACTTGAACAGAATCTGCTGTCTCTCCTTCTCCACCTCTATTCAATCTCCAAGTCCCCCGTCTCTGTAAATCCTCTCTCCTACCCCACCGTTCAGAATCGTCTCTCCTCATCGTCCCTCTCATCGGATGCGCGTCTCTCCCCACCACTGCCGCGTGCTCTTGAAGCTGCTACTCTGGATAGCTTGCGCAGGCAGCATCAGCGTCTACCAAGCCCGCACAGTCTCAGCCCACGGCCTCAAAGGTACCAGTCTCTCCCCACCACTGCCGCATGCTGTTGAGTCTCCTACTCTGAGTAGCTTGCACAGGCAGCATCAGCGTCTACCAAGCCGGCACAGTCTCAGCCCACGGCCTCAAAGGTACCTGCCGTTGCTAAAAGCTGGTCTGGGCTGAACCATGGGTGTTGTTGTGCTTCCTGGCTCGCTTCCTGGCTCGCTTCCTGGCTCGCTTCCTGGCTCGCTTCCTGGCTCGCTTCCTGGCTCGCTTCCTAACTCGCTTCCTGGCTCGCTTTTTAATTCGCTTCCTGGCTCGCTTCCTGGCTCGCTTCCTGGCTCGCTTCCTGGCTCGCTTCCTAACTCGCTCCCTGGCTCGCTTCCTGGCTCGCTTCCTAATTCGCTTCCTAACTCGCTTTCTGGCTCGCTTCCTGGCTCGCTTCCTAACTCGCTTCCTGGCTCGCTTCCTGGCTCGATTCCTAACTCGCTTCCTGGCTCGCTTCCTAATTCGCTTCCTGGCTCGCTTCCTGGCTCGCTTCCTGGCTCGCTTCCTGGCTCGCTTCCTAACTCGCTTCCTGGCTCGCTTCCTGGCTCGCTTCCTAATTCGCTTCCTGGCTCGCTTCCTGGCTCGCTTCCTGGCTCGCTTCCTGGCTCGTTTCCTGGCTCGCTTCCTGGCTCGCTTCCTAACTCACTTCCTGGCTCGCTTCCTGGCTCGCTTCCTGGCTCGCTTCCTAACTCGCTTCCTGGCTCGCTTCCTGGCTCGCTTCCTGGCTCGCTTCCTGGCTCGCTTCCTGGCTCGCTTCCTGGCTCGCTTCCTAACTCGCTTCCTGGCTCGCTTCCTGGCTCGCTTCCTGGCTCGCTTCCTAACTCGCTTCCTGGCTCGCTTCCTGGCTCGCTTCCTAACTCGCTTCTTGGCTCGCTTCCTGGCTCGCTTCCTGGCTCGCTTCCTAACTCGCTTCCTGGCTCGCTTCCTGGCTCGCTTCCTAACTCGCTTCTTGGCTCGCTTCCTGGCTCGCTTCCTGGCTCGCTTCCTAATTCGCTTCCTGGCTCGCTTCCTGGCTCGATTCCTAACTCGCTTCCTGGCTCGCTTCCTGGCTCGCTTCGTAACTTGCTTCGTAACTCGCTTCCTGGCTCGCTTCCTGGCTCGCTTCCTGGCTCGCTTCCTAATTCGCTTCCTGGCTCGCTTCCTGATTCGCTTCCTGGCTCGCTTCCTGGCTCGCTTTCTAACTCGCTTCCTGGCTCGCTTCCTGGCTCGCTTGCATCAGAGCAACCGCACTTACTAGTCCCATCTCCCCCCCACTCCCTCCAGATTGCGCTGACCAGGAGCGGCTCTCCCATCGTCCTGTCGGCTCTCCCATCGTCCCATCGTACAAAGAACGATCACGACGAAGCAGGCAGAGGGAAAGAGGTGAATTTTGATCGACTCAAAAGTCCCTTCCCCTCTCCCCCCCACTTCCTCCAGATTGCGCGGACATTCTTGCAGCAGGAACAACTCTCCCATCGCCTCTTGCCACGGCAACCGATTACGACGAAGCAAGCAGAGCAAAAGGGACGCCCTCGCGAGGGTACAAGCGCGAAGACGGTGTCTGCTGGAGCCGGGCCGAGATGGCATGCTACGCAGCGATAGGCAGCGCCGGGTATCCCACAAGAGACGCCGCAGAAGAGCGCGCGCAGCCGCATGTGTCTGGTGCCCTTGAAACGAAACTGCGGCAATACCACCGGTACCGGCGGGAGTGCCTGCGAGTGGAGCCAATGGAACAGCTGCGAGCCACACTGCTAGCCGGCAATGCCACTGCCTGCCGCTACTTGCTCTACCATCAAACTATAGACGGGCAGGGCAACCGGCTGATGTCTCTCGTCTCCTCGTTTGCGTACGCGCTGCTGACGGGTCGGATTCTCCTGCTGGTGTCCCGCAGTGGTCCCGCTACAGAGTTCTGTGAGCCATTCGAGCATGAGGCATCGTGGGTCCTGTTCGATGGGTCGGAGGAAGAAGGGGAGAGGAATGCGAGGCTGCTACACAACCATGTGGCCCAGGAGTGGAGGAGCGTGAGGGAGGGAGAGGAGGCACGGGCGTCGGGTGACAAGCTGCTGCCACCAATGTGCGTTCTGTGCTGTGCTGTGCTGTGCCGTGCCGTGATAATCACTTGTTCTTGTTCCAGCGTTTCTTGTCAGTCATACTGTGTCTGCCTTCTCACATGCGTTGTACGCGCAGCTTTACCCATGCTTAACGGATGGATTGTTCTCATAGCCTTTACGAAGCGTATCGAAGCTCTCACCGTTCCACTTCGTCAATCCTTGTGTTCCCCTCATCCTCTCCCTCATTCCGATTCTTTCCCTTTCCCTTCCCTTCTTGCTCCCGCAGGCTACGCCTGGACATTAACCAAGCAACCTCCCCGTCTGGCTTCTTGTTCTTCTGCGAGGCAGAGCAGCAGTGGCTCTCCCACACGGCCACGTTACTCCTCACCTCCAACCAATACTTCCTCCCCGCGCTCTACCTCCTCCCCTCCTTCCGCCGCCTCCTCCGCCTCCTCTTCCCGGCGCACATGCCCTTCCGCTCGCTCTCCCGCCTGCTGCTCTTCCCCCGCAACCGCATCTGGGCGGGCATCACCCACCGCTACCACACCCTCCTTGCCCCGGCGCCCGCTCGTGTCGGCCTGCAGGGGCGCTTTTCAACGCATGCAAGGGAGAGCACAGTAGCTTGGTACACTACCGCTATGGGGCGTTGCATGCTGCAAGCTCTCAACTCCTCCACCGTGCAGAGAGCAAGGGGTATGCGGCTTGCCAGGGAGGCGGCTTTGCAGCCAAATCAGGGTCCTTTTGAGATGCGGCGGGGACGGGATATGCGAGAGGGGGAGGGAGGGGGAGAGGGAGTAGGCTCAGCAGGGCGGGGCACGAGTGGGAGTACTGGGCACGGGGTGGGAGGTGTGGGTGAGAATGGTGCACTCCGGGGTGGTAAGTTTGATTCAAAGACGACTATAACAGTGAGTGGTAGTGACAGGAGCAGTGTAGGTGGTAGTGGTAGTGGTAGTGGTGGTGGCTGCAGCGTGGGGGGTTCATGGGGTGATGTGACTGAGGTAATGGTAGCGTCTCTCAACCAAAACCTAGTGCATAACCTCTCAGAGGCAGTGACGGCTGATGTGCCTGTAGCGAGAGTGACAGTGGGAAGTGACACTGCTTGTGCTCCTACACAGGAAGAGCCACCACCCAATAGTACTGCCTCCACTGCTGATCCTGCCGCGCCTGCTGCTACTGTAACTCCCGTTATAAGCACGGACGCTAGAAGCAGCAGCACCAGTAGTGGCACTGGCAGCAGCAGCAGCAGCAGCAGCAGCAGCAGCAGCAGCAGCAGCAGCAGCAGCAGCAGCAGCAACAGGAGCGGCAGCGGCGTTGGCAGCAGCATTAGCAAGAGCAGCAGTGGCACTTCTGGGTATGGCGTGCATATAGTGCACTTGACCGCAGATGACAAGGAGAACACCACCAATACGGCATCGGTAGACCGAGCCATCATCGACATCTACACCCTCGCTCTCTTTTCCGATGCTCTTATCATCTCCAAGACTTCTACTTTCGGCTACCTCTGTGCATCCCTCTTTGGAGTGCCCCATGTTACATTCGTGGGGCACACTTGCATTCCCGCTGTTTCCGAGCCGTGTATGCACTGGCCCCCCACCAATGATCGATGCCCCGATGGAAATCCACAGAAGCTGCAGCTGCTCCTGGCTGAGAAGCCAGATGTGCCCCTCATGCCCTGTATGGACAGACCCAATTCACTTGGGATCAAGCCCTTAGACAGTGCCCAGAACGACTATTCCTACTACCAGCCCTGAGGTCCAAGTCGAAGGGCCTTTGGCCAGGCCTTTCTCTTTCACAAGTGATTAATTTTAACTCTGAAGAATTATAGTCGATGTTTCAAGTTAGCCTTTCATTTCAGGTTTTGTGGCCAATGCAACCTGGCTTTCAGTGTATTTTATTTAGATGTGTAATCTACCTGCTTTTATAGGAAGATTTCGAATTATGTTACAACATCTACAACCCTGTCAGGAATTTTCCTTAATTCCTTATCGGGTTGACTGCTACGCGTACAGCCCGGTTTTCGGACTTCGCACGTTCGGCCGATTTCAACGCTGCCGAGGCTCCTCGCGTCGCCTTCGGCATTTTCCATCGCCAAACCTGCACCCCAACCTCGCTCGTCCGAGGTTTCCTCCTAGCTAGGCTAGCTCCTACATTAGTGTGTTCCTTCATTGTATTCTCAGATCATTCAATCACAGTCTCGCTATTCGTTTACCTGCGCACTCTCTTTTATAACTCATAACACCTGGTTTCAGAGCTACTTTCCTAGTTCACCTCGCTTTTCCGATGGTAATTTGGTGGCATAGGGTGTGGCTGGTTTAGTGACTACACGACGGTTGGCTGCAGGGATTGTTAATTCAATCCTGCCCGACTCCGATAGTTCGTGTTTTCACTTGCCTGAAGGCCACGGAGACCCGACTGCCCACCAGACGTAGCGCTAGGCACATGGATCAGGAGGCGGTTAACAGGATGATGGCACAAGTGGCAGAAATGCAGGAGAGCATGAAGACATTAATGGCGGAAGTGACAACACTGCGAGAGGAAAACGCCGAGCTACGCCAGACGCGAGGTGAAGCGCGTCAGGAGTCGCCTGTGGACGAAGGCGAGGGCAACAGTCAGGTGATGAGCAATCCGCTGGATGCGCTCACACGTGACTTCGAAGAAGAAGATAGGCAGCGAGCGGCGGCAGCGCCAGTTGCAGTAACGACGATCAAGATCAAGCCCGTCAACCCGCCCCCGTTTAATCCTACGGACAAGACGGTTACAGTAAAAGGGTGGCTGTTCGGGGTCGAGGTCTTGTTCACTGCAGCAGGAGTTAACGACGACGCCACGCGTATTAATTACGCGGTTTCGCTTCTTCGAGGTGCAGCGCTTGAGTGGTGGCGCCGAACCTTGGAAACAGGGACGCCGACAGGTGTGACGCATGCGGCAGACGGGACCTCAACAGTGACTAATCAAGTGGCACAATCAATATTCGGAGTGACCACGATACGCACGTGGAAGGAGTGGGGCGCAGCCTTACGAGATCGCTTCGAGCACGTATCCGCCTCGGAGCAAGCTCGCATGAAGCTGCGTGCATGGTCGCAGATGGCTTCTGTCCAAGACTACACGGCGTCATTTATGGGCCTCGCCGACCAAGTTGATGATATGTCGGAAGCTGAGCGGTTAGATAAATACATCAGCGGCCTCAAATACGAGATACAGTACGAGGTTCGCAGGGGCCGCCCGACATCATTTCTTGAAGCAGTACGGCTGGCGGAGTCTACAGATGCGCTGATGCAGTACGCGAGAGCAGCTTCCCGGGAGGGAAACCGCTTTCGTGGCCAGACCCATCGGGCCACGATCAACGCCGTCCATACACCCGACCGCCCTCCTAAGGGACCGTGTTACCGGTGTGGGAAGACGGGTCACTACATGAAAGACTGCCACGAGAAAACGCCGCTGACGGGGAACGACAGGAAGGAGCAGGGAAATGGGAAAAGTCAGTAATTAGCGGGCCCTTTACTGACTGTGCTCCGTCGCCCGAACCCCACCATCCCCACCGAGTCGTGGTTTCGATTCATGCAATCGATCGCACTCGGCCGAATAACGGGGATACACATGTGGATCACCCTGTGCTGGTCGCTCGCAAGGTGTTAAAAAATAACTTAAAAATGTTCGTCGATGGGGGGGCCAGCCATAGCCTCTTCAACTTGGCGAGCGCAAAAAAATGCAAGCTGCAACTTGACAGGTGTCTGCCCGAAATTGACGTCCGCCTCGTGGATGGGACGCCTCTGGCGATAACGGAAGAAACACGGACGGTCAGGATCGAATGCGGCGACGATTTCGGCTTCAGCATGAAGTTTCTCGCGACAACATTGGACGGCTGCGACGTGCTTCTGGGACGTGATTGGCTGCGACGGCACAACCCCGTCATCGACTGGACAACGGGATCGTGCAGCATCAACAAGCACGAGGGGCTAATTAAACTGCCTGCATGGACACCTGACTACATCCAAGCCCCGTGCGTCAAAGCTATCACTATAGCTCGCCACTTCAACAGGGGCGCACAGCTGTTTGCTGTTTGCTTACGCGAGTTGGCAGTTGACACCGACGGAAAAGACATCGAGAAGCTGTGTGCAGCTGTACCACTGGATTTAGCGGAGCTGATTCGGAGGTACCCGGACATTTTCCCCGACGATCTGCCACCTGGACTGCCACCCGAGAGACCTCAGGACCACAAAATCCAGCTGGAACCTGGAGCGCAGCCGACTGTTCGGACACAGTGGCGGTTGACCCAGCCGGAACTCGAGGAGCTGCGAAGTCAAATTGACGCACTGTTGGAGAAAGGGTTCATTCGGGCCAGCACATCTCCCTTCGCAGCACCAATCCTGTTCACTCCGAAGAAAGAAGGCGGGCTTCGCATGTGCATCGACTATCGCGCGCTGAACCGGGTCACCATCAAGTCTCGCTACCCAATCCCACGTACCGACGACCTCCTCGACCAACTTCGCGGCGCTCGCTATTTCTCGAAGATTGACTTACGTGGCGGTTACCACCAGATTCGAGTCTTCGCCGACGATTGTCACAAGACTGCGTTTCGCACACGCTACGGGAGTTACGAATTCACAGTGATGCCTTTCAGCCTCACGAACGCGCCTTCGACATTCCAACTCACCATGAACAGGGTTTTTCGGGATCTTCTAGACCGATGTGTCATCGTCTACTTGGACGATATCCTGTTTTTTAGCAAGACACGGGAGCAGCACCTCCGCGACCTGGATGCAGTGTTTAAGCGGCTACAGGAGAACCGACTCATCACCAAAGGCTCTAAGTGCGAGTTTTTTAAGCAGGAGTTGGAGTTTTTGGGGCACGTTATCTCGCGGGACGGCATCAAAATCGACCCGGCGAAAATTAAGACCATACAGGAGTGGAAGTCCCCGACGAATGTCACGGAACTTCAGAGTTTTCTCGGATTCGTGAATTACGTCAGGCGGTTCATCCCGAATATGGCGGGGATAACCGGCCCGCTGACCGACCTGCTGCACAAGGACAGGAATTTTGTGTGGGGGGGGGAGGCAGAAGCGGCTTTCCAGGAACTCAAGAATTTTCTCGTTTCCCCTCCTGTGCTGCGCATCGCCGACCCATCGAAGCCGTTCGAAGTCGTCACCGACGCCTCAGATTTCGCCATCGGAGTTGTGCTACTCCAAGATTTCGGGAATGGGTTGCAGCCGATAGCCTACGAATCACGCAAGCTACATGCAGCCGAACGCAATTACCCGATCCACGACAAGGAGATGCTCGCCATAATACACGCGTTCAAACTATGGCGCTGCTACTTGGTGGGCGCAGACGTCACTGTTCGCACGGACCACAAATCCCTACAGTACCTGCGAGCCCAGCCCAACCTCAACCCACGACAGATACGGTGGCTCGATTACATGGAGAGCCATTTCACCTACCGCATCACGTACAAGAAAGGGGCGAATAACATCGCCGACGCCCTGACCCGACCGACAGTACAATCCGTGTCAGATTTATATGACATAGCTACTATAGGCTATAGTGGGGTAGCACATATGGGGTACAGTTTTCTAGGGTTTGCATTTGTACCCAACTTTCCCTTAGTCAATTCATTCTCGTTCAGTTTCTCATGGTATCGAGCAGGTTCCCCTGTGGGAACTGTTCCTAGGGCCCACCACCTTTTTTTTCCTGCCCGGAGCGCGTTCTACACTGCCCGAGTCGCGCTCCCCTCTCTCGACCCTGTCGCGCCGCCTTAGCGGCCCCGTCGCGTCGCCCTCGCGGCCCCTTCACGTCGCGCCGCCCTAGTGGCCGCGTCGCGCCGCCCTCGCGGCCCCGATCCGCCGCCCTCGCGGCTCCTTCGTGTCGCGCCGCCCTCGCGGCCCTTTCACGCCGCCCTCGCGGCCCTTTCTAGCCGCCCTCGCGGCCTCTTCAAGCCGCCCTCGCGACCCCCCCCTCCTAGCCGCCCTCGCGGCCCCGTCGCCTACCCCTGCGGCCCCGGCGCCGCCCTTCCCTGCCTCGGCGCCGCCTCTGCTGGCCCCGTCGCCTACCCCTGCGGCCCCGGAGCTGCCCTTCCCGGCCCCGGAGCTGCCCTTCCCGGCCCCGGCGCCGCCTCTACTGGCCCCGACGCCGCTCCACCCGGCCCCGACGCCGCTCCACCCGGCCCCGACGCCGCTCCACCCGGCCCCGCCGCCGCTCCACCCGGCCCCGCCGCCGTCCCCACGCGGCCCCGCCGTCACCACCGAGCCGCCGGCGCCGCCGAGCTACTACCGAGCCGCCCGATCCACCAGAGCCGCCCGAGCCGCCGCGCCACCTGAGCCGCCCGAGCCGCCG